TTTATTTTAACTTCTCACATCGTGATTATTACATTAGTGACTAACGTTTCGGACCCTCCTAGTGTTATATAAATATTCTTAGCAGACTGCGCTATATACCAGGTATGTAGACGACATAGTTTTAATATGGCATGACACACCTAAGCATGACTGCTGACCCAGACCCAAACCCCCCCCCCCACCCCCCTGTATGGGTAAGGGCAACGGCCACAGCTTTATTAACTGATTAACAACAGATTATCGCCAGCGTCCACAACCTGTCAGCTGTTGTGGGATTACCAACAGACAGCTCTATCAAAATGACCCACGAGTCAGGAGCAGCCTGCCCCGCCATCAGCTCTCAGCAGGCTGTGACTCCCCAAGCCGCTTGGGCACTTCCTTCCAATCCTCTTCGCTGGCCAGGACTACCGCCACCGCGGTCCCTCCCTACCTGCTCCCTTGGGAGGAACCGCGCCCCTCCGCAGCCAGCGCACCCTCAATACCAGACTGAAGCCCCACATTGAAGATATCCAACCCTATGAGTGAGAGGTGTATCCCATCCTTACGCATGAGGTTGGAATTGTCCCCTTCAAGTTCTCTAACGACAAACCCGCCGAGGTGGCGGACAAACTTACCAATAGCCACATTTAACTTGCGCCTACAATGCTCCACGCCCTTTGCATGAGGAAGCATACGCCAACACGGTCTGGACACTATGTCCGACCAAATAAGGGTCAAATCGGGGAAGAGGGCCATACAACGCGCCAGATCATGTCTAACAGCATGCAGGAGGTCCACTGACCTGCTGCGCCCTAGGTCATTTCCCCCCACATGAATAACCAGAGTCACTGGCCCCGACACGTACCGACGCAGGGATACACATTCGGAATACAACTGCTGCCATAACATCCCCCTGATACCCCTCCACCTTACCCTGGCTACATCGTAGGGAAAACCCAAATTTCTCCCATAGGGACGCTCCGCAGCTAGCCGCGCTGCCCAATATAAGAATGAATGTCCCAGTATCCAGACGCAGCGAGGCCGAGGACCTACGGAGAAAATGCGTCATAGTAAATGCGGTCTGACATAAGACCTATAGCGAGTTGAACCCCATCTACCCAATCGCTGAATCGCTGCATCGCTGCATCTGAGAAACCCAACAAACTAGCCTGGGTGGCCGCCCCTATACGGAAAGAATGAGCCGAGTACTGGCAAGGATTCATCCCGCACTCAGCCAGCGCAGCCCGGAACCTGGTCGAAAACTGGAAGCGTGTGAGGGGGGACCCATCCCTATGAACCAGGAAGGGAAGACACCACTCGGGCCTAATCTGCAAATAGTCCAAGAAGAGACGTACTGGACAAAACATCCCACCTGTAGCACCGATCCGTACCCAAGAACCCCTACCTACCTGGTCCGTCTTGAAGACATTGACGTAGTCCAAGGACCACCGGACATCCGCAAGCACAAGCGGACCGACCGCCTTGCGGTTGCGTGCCACCAATTCGCCCACCCTAAAGGCTCCAAAAAAAAAACAGAATGCAAATGAAACCCGAAATAATGAGACCTCATAGGCCGAGAAACAGACCGCCCCAAGGGGCGACTGAATCCGTCCCAGCAACTCGGCTGACACCGGGCGCCGGTGGTCTGGGCCCCTCCGAAGTCTCCACCCACGGATAACTCGCTGAATACCAAACCACCGGGAAATATCTTGCCAGCCCATAAAGCGACACAGGAAAGACAGAGCGGACAAAGTCTTTTCGGCCGCAGAACATGACTTACCCTGCACAAACATCAACTCTAGCATCGTCAGCGTCGCCTCCAAGTGCCCGGACTCCGACCCCAGCACCATGCCCTCCGAAAACAAGGACAGCCAGGACCGCCAGACGGTCAGGTAAGCCTTCCATGAAGAGGAAGATAAGGAGTCCGCAACCAAACTTCTCAATCCTCCAAATCGATCTCCCCTAAGGAAACCGGACATCTGACTCCCACTGCCTCCGCCGATGGAGCCGACTCCCGAAAACGGTCCCACTGAAACCGAGAAAGAGAGTCAGCAACCTCGTTATGAACCCCCGGGACATGACATGCTTTAATCCAAATATTATACCTTTAAGAAAGTAGAACCAACCGGCGCAGCAGCGCAAGAACCGGAGGGGAACTGGATGAGGAGCGGTTTATCACATGGACCACGCTCATGTTGTCCGTGTGAAAAACTACTGTCCTGTTGCCAAGAGCCTCCCCCCAAAGTTCGAAGGAGACCACGATGGGAAACAGCTCTAAGAACGCCAGATTTCGCATCACAGCCAAGCCCAGCCACTTCGCAGGCCACACCTCCACACACCATTGTCCCTGGAAGTATGCCCCAAAACCCACGGTGCTAGATGCGTCCGTGAAGAGATTCAACTCGGCATTAGACACCGCCTCCAGCAGCCAGCAGGAGCGACCATTGTAGCGCTCCAAAAAGGAGCTCCACACCTGAAGGTCTGCCCGCAAACGCCGTGTGACCCGGATAAAATGAAATGGTTCCCGGACTCCAACCGTTGCCAGAGAGAGGCGCCTGCAGAACGCCCCCTGCCCCATGGGAAGTACTCTGCATGCGAAGCCCAAGTGCCCCAGAAGCACCTGCATCTGACGCAACTGTACCTTTTTCGCCCCACGAACCAGATCAATCAGTCGCAAGAGAACAGACCATTTTTCTGCAGGCAACTGGAAAACCATACCGACGGAGTCGATCTCTATCTCCAGAAAGGACAGAACCTGAACGGGGCCCACCGTCCTAGCCTCCGCGACGGGGACCCCGAAATATCCCGTGACCGCCCGAAACGCTTGTGAGAGCCGCTCACACTCACCTGATCCCGGGGTTCCGACGAAAAGAAAATCATCCAGGTAATGAGTAGCCGATGCCAAACCCGCCTCCTGTGTCGTCACCCATTCCAAAAACAGGAAAACATCTCAAAATAAAAACAAGAAATTGAACAGACCATGGGTAAACACATGTCATAGTAAAAGGCCCCTTTGAAAGAACAGCCTAACAGATGAAAACATGAGGGGTGAACCGGTAAAAGACGAAAGGCTGATGCGATGTCGGATTTTGCCAACATAGCACCTTGCCCGGCACCATGCACTAACTCCAAAGCCCTGTCGAAAGA